CCCCAAAACCCCAAAACCCCAAAACCCCAGAGGTGAACACTTCAGCTGAAATGAGTTGTTAAAGACTAGGATTTTTCAAAATCACGGAATAATTCCTCTCTCTCATTCTTAGATTCAGCAATAGTGGGGGTTAGAGGTTGTCTGTCTGAGTTGAAGATGTTCTTGAGGTTTTGGAATTTCCTAAAATAAGGATAGTCAAAGAGTCTTTTTGTGTCGTTGATTATCGGCTCCATCTCCTTCTTATGGTTAGACTCATTTCTCTCTTCTATGGGCAAGTACCCCAGCTGCTCATAATACTCCGGTAGAGCTAAAATATCATAACTGGATTCTTCAAACAACCCTTTTTCTAATAATTCATCAACATTGTACTTCTTAAAAAGTCCTCGCATTCCTTGCTCCTTCAGTAATCTTTCGTAGGTGCTATCAAAGAGCTTTTTGTAGCCGAATTGATTCCTAACCAAAGCTTCTTCGTAAATCCAGTTTATAAGGTTCTTATAGCTCAGACTTTTATAGAAACTTCTCAAGCCTTCGAACTGTGAAGCTTCTTGCTTCACTGAAGAAGAGAACACGATGTTGAAGCAATCAAATCTGACTTCGTACAGCCAAATGTAAGCTCAACAGACAAAGAAGAAGAACAGCAGAAGCAATCTGTGATCTCCAGGAACATAATAGATGGAATGACCGTTATACTCAACTTCGTCCTGGGACTCCTTTCCCAACACATGGTTGTCAAACATTTGTCTATTGCAAAGCATCCAGTAAGAGAACCCTCAGAAGAATAAGCTAGCATATTTGAGGTTGTAAAGGAAGATGGTACTTAGTGCTGATTCGAAATGTGGAGGCTTCTGGTACCAGTACACTATCCCAATCTTGTAAGTCAGGTAGATCACAACAATGAAGCAAAAGGTCAAAGGGAACAGAATTGGCAACCCAAGACCATACATAAAGCATATCATTATTGCAACCAGGACTTGTGAGTACGGACTATGAAGGTTTAGCTTATCTCCAGATCTGAGATTTGCAAATTCCAGATTAGTCTTTTTGTTTGTAAACACTAGGGTTCTGTCTTCTTCTTCGTTCCTGTCAAGGTTAGAGAAACAGATTTTAGAGAGAATATATTCCCTTTGGTCAATTAACAAGAAGAGTCTCTTAAGTCCCCATCCGACGACCATCATGACGGGAGGAAGTATGCATCTGATGAACATTGGTGTGATAAAGATAGGTGCAACCAATGCATACCACTTTGCATTAAAGTCTCCATAATAACCATTCAGAAATGTGAAAGGTAGTCCTGTCTCTCTGAAATTAGCATTCATTAGAAGTATAACAATGGAACTGTTGAAGAAGGTCAACATAAAGTCTATCACCATCGCAGTAGAGGACTCTATAGTTTTATTTTCCATTCTTAGGACACTCATAGAGAAGTTAATGACAGTTCTGATACCAAAATTGATAGCTTCAAGAATTGCGGGGGCAAGGACAATGCTTAGAATGACAATTTTTTCAGCAAATAAATAGTCCTTACACAGAGGAGAGTCTATAAGTCTTCCTCGTACCTGCACTTTGTAGCTATTTTTGCGAAGCTTCTCTATATCCAAGCTCAGACTGGAGGTTTTTGCAAAAACATTGTAGGTTAGAAGTGGATAATTTTAGAATAGATTCCCTTGAGATTCCTTGCTCGTCGATGTTATACCATTCAGAAACAGCAAATCTAAGCAACATTGATTCAGAGGAATATGACTCTGCTAGGAGTTCTCAGTCTACTTCTGGATAAGATCTCCTCAGGAGATCCTTTGTTTGCTGTGTAAGGAATAACAAAGAGAATCCAATAACCATAACTATCCCAATGATGAATATTGCTATAATCCATCTGAAGAAAGACTCCATTCGAGATTTATGCTTATTTTCATACTTGATATTCGTTGGTTGAATCACTGTTCTAATAGAGAAATCATATTCCTTAGTTTTAGTCGTCGCTACCTTCTGAACATTAATATGATGCTCTGTGAAATTAAAACAGCAAATTCTAGTATTGTTCATTCCCAGAGATCTTTGGTATGCCTCTTCATTTTCAAATATGATATAAGCCTCTATTGGAGTGGTAAAGCTGCCTAAATATAGAAGAAGCACGCTTACTTGAGTATTCATAAAGGATTTTATTTTCTATCTCTTTTCTTCGAATAGTGTTCTCATCCCAGATTGCTCTGCCCCTCTGAACCATTAGAGGGATCAGCCTATAATGTTTGAAGGTGAATTGGATGTCTACAATGTCAAGTAGGCTATCGTCATCTGCCATTGCAGGTCTTTCATCCTTTAGCATTGCGACAATCTCATCCCTGAGGAACTTTTTGAACGCGTATACTTGTGATTCCCCAGAAACTTCTTCCCCACTGAGATCATAGATGTAATCAATATATTTTTCATAAAGTTCATCGGGGATATCAAACTTCACGGTGTAGTCAGAAATCGTTGTGGTTTTGTGGTCCCATTCAATATATTTTCCATTAAGACTCCTGCTGACATAGAAGCAAAACGCTAGTAGAAGCACATTTATCCCAATTACTTCATATGTCAAAATTTTGTTAATCCAAAGCTTGTTCTCAAGTTCTTTTTCTGGCAAATAGCAGAAGAGCTGAATAAAGAACTGGGATGTGTAATCTACACATTCGGGAGGCTCAGCTCTGAGGTCGACAAATGATCTGGTCTCAATGAGGCATGATTTTCGGCCAATACATTCTTCTTCAATGTATTCCTGGACATATTCAGCAGAGTAAACTCCTTCACATTTCCATGTATCTTCGTTTGGTTTTCAACCATCTAAATATCTTCCGTTAGAAGGAGTAACACCGTATGATTCGATCTGGCTGATAACTCCTGTAGGACAACTATATAGGTTAGATAGATGATTACTCAACAGTCATCTGGCCTACACCAAGAGGGACGTCTTTGCAGAAGCTGGAAGAATATCCTAGGTTACCCATCTCAATATAGTCAAAAAGGCTGGTTGAATATTTGCTATCCCCATAGTAGGAGTACAGGAACATTGTGAAAAAGGAAAGCAATGAGAGCACAGCGAAGAGGATCATTAACATCTCAAGTATGTAGAAAAACGAGTAAACCCCAAAACCAAGAACGGATAGGTCCTTGTAGGAGCTATCTATCTTTGCTTGGGTTTTCCTCTTCACTCTATCACTTGCATGTTTGAAATCTTGTGAGCTGATTCCTTCAGGAGTAGGCTCTTGACTATCTATTTTAAAATTCTCATCTTCATCGTCTTCTAAGAGTCATAGGATAAGATTACCTCTGTATCTATCTCTTTTAATCAGCATTGATTCCTTCCTGATGTTCCTATCAAGTAGCTCTTTGAAGGTAGATAATCTTTGATTGTAATTATTCTACTTGTTAGGATGTAATCTACCTTTTGGGAATCATTAAAAACATCGTTCTTATCTTCTTCTTTAGAAAAATTATTCTCAATTGGAGCTAGATGGCTCCATTTTTCATCTGTATTTATCATCAATCCTAGAAGTTCACCAGTAGCCTTACATTTCTTAAAATAAGTGACTATTGGGAATACCTCATTGAGCCCAATGTTAGAGTAATACAGTGGGTGTCGGTTTTTGAGGATCCTATTTACTTCCTTAACCTATATCCAAATATCAAAATCTTGGTGTCTCTATCTCTACGTAAGCATCTATCTAGGGTATCTCAAACAGTAAAATATTGCCTAAACAGCCCCTCTAACCCCAAAATGAGGCTTGTTGTTTACATCTTTTGTGGTTAACTCCCTCATGTTTTCAGATATTTCAAATTATATTACTCTTTTGGGGTTTTGGGGTTTTGGGGTTTTGGGGTTTTGGGG